GTCCGTGAGACCGTAGATTGTCCCATTTGTCTTTTTAAGTCTTAGAAGGGTGCGATACTCACTTTTGCCTTGACTTCTTCCCGACAACCAAAGCGGCGTTACAGACGAAAATGCGGACTCAGAGGAAGAAGACCGCGAGTGCTTATGGTGCCATTTCGGACAGGGCCTTTCTCGTGTCTCTCGCGCTTCACTCTTCTGCGCATCCTCAGTGCGCAGAGTGTCATATTTCTTAAAGGGGCCGCATATTCTTAAGTAAATCACTTTTCGTCACTGATACGGAGCAAAATACACTATCGTCATATTTATGACTTCGACAGTCTAGTCACCTGAACTGGGTTAATCAAACCTTATCATTATCAACAAAAATCTATCTTTTTGTTGACAGACTAAAAACTTGTTTATGGAGCTGTTGTAACAAAATCAATTTCATAGTGCGATCGTGCTCATAGATGGGAAAACACTACTTTTGCTTGTAAATGTTGCTTGATTTTATGATATTTGCTTGTATTAATCCAACATCAGATAATTATTTAAAAAAAATTGACATTTTTTTGGTCCCTTCATCTTACAGGTAAGAGGTAAAAGTAACAGGATAGTGAAACGGGGTAGAGATCAATTAGACTAAATCACTTCGGTGGAAACTAAATAGAAATTATCATTCTCACTTAACAAATCAAACACAAATGAATTTAACATTTTTCTAAATGTTCTCTTTTAAACTAAAAGCCTGAAAGAGTTGTTTTGTGCAGTCTTGTGACCACAAATAAACAGAACCGAACACGACTGAATAAGTAAATGTTATTTTATGTGAAACAACGTTAAAGCCTAATTTGATTTAATATGGTCTGTTAAAAAAAAAAAAGCCCTTGTGGCCCGATGGTGGAAATGTGAAAAATAATTTCTGACTGGCATATAAATTAACAAATCAAACAAATGCCAAGAGGTAAAAGTGAAGCCCCTACCAGACAGAATCAGTCTAGACCAATGGAGAGTACGGCTGTGTTCAAAACACACATGATTTCTCTCATGGTCTGTATTTTCTGGTGCTATTTAGAGCCCAGCAGTGAAAAACTCTTTCCACAAACATATATATTAGATATTCTCAACTGCATAAACTTTCAGGTGTCCCTCAGGCCTACAACCCAGTTGCACTATTGACACCTGCGCAGGTAGTAGACGCGGGAAGTTGAATAAAGCATCACTTTTAGAAATAAAAGACCAGCACCACAGCGTTTAACTGCTGTGCAGCGTTTCTGTTCAAGAAATATAATTTGTAACAATAATAAAAATAAATAAATAGAAACATAATAACATATTCATGTTTCTTTTTAGTATTACGCCAACCAGCAGAACCAAATTATCACGTATGATTACATATGTGATAATTTGGGTTGATTTCACAATACGTTCCAAACATATTTATCACAGAATTAAGATAGGATGTTTTAACTCATTAATATGATTAAAACTATATAATTCATTTTCTCTGTTCAATAAATAGATCAATCAAGACAATTGACTCAAAAAGTTAAAATAAAGAAAAGTTTATTAAATGTCCATATAGAGACAAATCTGTTCAACAGAAAGATGTGCAGCTGAGGAAAAACAAGTGCTGGAAATGACCTGGACTGGAGAATTACATGATGGAATTTGCAGAACGGTGCCGGAGTCAGAGTCCACAGAAAAATCCCAAAACGGGAAAATCCAAAAGACAAAAAACTTTTACTGAGAAACAGTAAAAAATAGAAAAAGCTTGGCAACAGAACATGAACCTGGCAGAGAGAGCCGTAACAAACCACAACTGCATGAACAATCTGACAAAAGACAAGATAAACAGAGGGATAAACATAGGAAGCAGGTAACAGGTTAAGACCATCAGACTGTAAGCTGAACAATTAGTATTGCTATGGAAACACCAACCCAGAAAAAAGACGGTAATGCCGAGTTCAGACTGCACGATTTTAGCCCCGATTTTGGCTCGCCGACAGGTTTTGAGAAATCGCCGACAAATGCCCGAAATCACAGGCAAATCGGCGCTCGTTCACGCGAGTGACAATCACGCAGTGTGAATGAGCAAAGACGCGATCTGAAAGAATCGCCGACGCCCGTGAGATATTTGGCATGCTAAATATCTGGACCTGTCGGCGATTCACAATCCTGCTGTGTGAATGTGTTCTGACTGAAAACTACATCGGCGATGACCGACAGCCAATGAGAGAGCAAGATACAGGGAGGAGGAGGAGGAGTTATAGACCAGAATATCAGTATTTTAATAGATGGGCCTATATTTACAATTATATCAAACAGAAACAAAAGCACAAACATTTGCATGACCAGCAGCAACAGCAGGACATGTGCAAAATTATTTATTTACCCCCAACTCTCTTTGCAAAACACAGTCCTTGCTCCCCTCGTCTTCCCAACCATTTCCTGCATAAACTGTTTATTATTTTTTTCCATTTTCGCTACAAATCAGTGCACAGACAATTTGTAGGCTATCATTTTTAATAACAAATTCAGTGTCGCGCGAGAACTCCGGTCTCACGCACGCGTGATCTTCCGTTATTTCCTATCACTTCTCGCGTTTGTTTGGTTGTGAAACGTAGTTTGCGGACCAGGCAGAAGTTGTCGGCGATTCTTTCTTTTGTAAAGTCATGCAGTGTGAAACCTCCTGTCGCTGATCCATCGTGCAGTGTGAACACAGCAGTAACTGAATGTTACCCCAGATAGTCATGCAGTGTGAAAACAACAGTGACCCGATTATTTTGAAAATCGTGCAGTCTGAACTCGGCATTAGACAAAAAACTCACAGGAAGGCCAGTGGACAGACAGACAAAATGTTGTTTCTGTTCTCCAAGCTTTTCACTAAATTTATAAAATGAATGATAGGGAAGGCAATTTCTGAGAGACTAGCCATAGGAAATTAGCTTTGAAAGTATGAGATCCCACCCTCCCTTCAGAGGGTCTCCAAAGCGCTCGGGTAGAAAGTGGGTTGCCATCTTGTAATTACGGCTACGACTTGGCGTGAGGCAGGGGCGGAGTGGCAATCGGGAGAGTCGGGAGTTTCCCCGGTGGGCCGGTAGTGTTTCGAGGCCCGCGAGGGCCGGTCTGATAATAGTTATACCATGTTAAGTGTTATAGCCATGCGCACTTGAGGCCCAAGCGAGGGGGGGAAAAAAAACGTGTTTTTCTTACATTTTTGATAACGGAGCGTATATTTGCACTAAGTGCCTGTCTTTTCTGCAAAAAGACACCCGTCACGCAGTAGCTAAAGTGGCGTAGGTCGTAGGGTGTGAAGTGCTTGATATCAACTTTTGACGCGTTCGACCCGAGTTCGACTCCGCCTTTTGCCGAACTCTTTCTTCTCCCTTTTCCCAACACATATGAGATGTAAACTGTACCGCCTATACCATAAAGGTCTCGCCTTATATTTTGACAACGAACTAAAATCGAAACCATGATATGACTTTGTGCCTTTATAAAACAGCACAATACTTTAATTAAGTATATAGGCATCCTGTTTGTGCTGCGTGATTGAAAGAAAAGTGCGCTCTTTGCTCACGCGATCAGCATGGTGATCTGGTGTTTTCTCCTATAAAAGCGCAAGGGTTTATTTCTTGCCAGTGAAGAAATTAGGACAAAAGTATTTAAATTTTGCTATAGGCTACTAGGCCTATAGTGTAATGTAGGCTAAAATATACTTCGGAAATATTCATTTTCATTTTTACAGTACATTTTAGGCTTTATGGATTTTACGTCATAGGAATAATTATATAAATCATTATTACAGTATTATAATAATTGTTTGGCATCCTAAAACACCATTGATAATGTAATGTAGACTGAGACTCTCATAACTAAAAAGATGTTTGAGCCCTCTTTAATGTCCAGGTACAAATCAATGCTTTTTCTTTGTTCAATGAGCAGTTCATGGGTTGAAGCTCTTAATTTTGATCTCTCAAAGAGCACCAGATTGATGCATTTAACCTTAAAATGTACACAATTTTCTTGCGGGGGACCATGCCCCCGAACCCCCCTAAAGGCACAGAGGTCCACCCAACATAGTTTTACAAAATCCTATGTGAAAGAACAACCATTTATGAACTTTAATCCAGCATAGTACAACAAAGTTCCTTTTAAGTCATTAAAACTGTAAATGCCATATTAAAATGTCCTTGGACAAAATATACATTTGGCCTGCCTAAGAGGGGACCTACAAGACATTGTGCCCAGGGGCCTCTGAACTCTTAATCCGGCACTGCCGGCGACGAGGGCCGGTGGTCTACAAAATTTCCCGGTTGATTTTTTGGTCCCACTCTGCCCCTGGCGTGAGGCGCAGCATTGGACATTGAAATTGCAGATATTTAGAGCACTTCTATTATTGATTGCTATCAGGAGTTTCAACCAGTATAACAGAAGAGTGTTTATTAAAAAAACAATTGCCTACCCTCACCTTTAATCTAGATCAGGGATGGGGAACATCAGTCCTGGAGGGCCGCTGTCCAGCAGAGTTTAGTTCCAATCTTAATCAAACACACCTGAACAAGCTAATCAATGTCTTCAGGATCACTAAGGCTACATTTACACGACGACGATATGCTTAAAATGGAGAAGTTTTTCCTTTGAGTTTTCTGCATTCAGATGACACCACTGTCCACATGGATCCGCGAAAACGACTAAAAACCCTGTATTCTGCTGCCGGGCCATTAGATGGCGATGAAACATTATAGATTGATTACGTAATACACATATGTGTGAGGTCATCGTCTTCAGAGATTGGCGTTTTTGTCGTTTACAGAGACCGTTTTTAAAAACGTACACTTTGAAACCCCTTTTTCATAAGTTTGCGTTTTCAGGCACCCAAAATGCCATTGTCATGTAAATGAACGGCCAAAACGCATAAAAAGTTTTACGTTTTTAGTTGGTCTGAGCTAAACTCTGCGGCCCTCCTGGACGGACATTCCCCATCCCTTTTAGAACAAAGTAACTCTGTATTTTATCTCACAGAATTTACTTTAATGTATTGTTTTATATATATATATTTTCATATGAGCGTGAAGGCTTGATAAATGTCTAAAACTCTTCTCACAATGAGTACAGTGGTACGGCTTCTCTCCAGTGTGAAGTCGCTCGTGTGATTTCAGGTTTCCAGATAGAGTGAATCTCTTGTCACAGTATGAGCACTTGTAAGGTTTTTCTCCAGTATGAATTCTTTGGTGTAGTTTCAGATTGTCATCTCTAGTAAAGCTCTTCCCACAGTCACAACACACATGATCTCTCACTTCATTGTGTGCTTTCTGGTGATGTTTAAAATGATCCAGCCTTGAAAAACTCTTTCCACAGAGAGAACACACATAAGGCCTCTCGTCTGAATGAACTTTCAGGTGAGTTTTTAGATTTGATGATGAAATAAAATATTTTCCACACTGATAACAGTTAAATGGTTTTTCTCCAGAGTGAATGCGTAGATGATATTTGAGACCTGATTCACCAGCATAACTCTTTCCACACTGAGTGCATGGATACGGTTTCTCTCCAGTGTGAATTATCATGTGTCTGTTAAGGTTTCGTTCGTTTTGGAAACTCTTTCCACACTGAGAGCAGGTGTGCAGCTTTTTGGCTTTTGTTCCTTGAGTTTTGAAGTCATGTTTCTCCTCCACTTCATTCAGTTTGTATTTTTGCTCCATCACTTCAATCTGGTCTAAAATAAACGTATTCAGTTTATGTAGAGTAAATGTGAAAATTCAAGTTAACATTACTAATGCAAAGACAACAACCGATCAGGGGTTTATTCCAGAAAGCAGGTTATGTGACATACCCGGGTATGTTTAAGGGTAATAAGTAAGTGGATAACCTTTCAACTTACTCTCTGAACATAACCTGATGAGGCTCCACTGGGCGTGACAGATTGTGCACAATATTATAGTTACGCCAATATATAAAGTACTATTAAAACAATGTAATGTTTATTTTATCCAAGGTCATTTTTATTACATGCTCTGGAAAAAATTAAGTCCACTGCAAAATTGGTAGTTTCTCTGGATTTATTACTTGTATTTATATACCTGTATTTGTTTGATTTGAAAATATTGTGATTTAGAGCATTTATTTGCAGAAAATGACAACTGGTCAAAATAACGAAAAAAGACATGTTTTCAGACCTCGAAAATCCAAAGAAAATAAGTTTATATTCCTTTTTAAATAACTCAATACTTATGTTTTAACTCAGGAAGACTTCAGAAATCAATATTAGGTGGAATAACCCTGATTTTCAATCACAGCTTCAGCATCAGTCGGTCATATTGTTGTTGGGTGACTTTATCTTTATGCCACTCCTGGAGAAAAAATTAAAGCAGCTTGGCTTTATTTAAAGTCCCCGTGAACCGGAAGTTGCAAACGACTTTTCTCCAGTGTTGTGACGTATTTCCGAGAGAAACGGAATACTAAATGAGGCAAAACAGTGGGCGTGGCTTTTTTCCCAACTAGCACCTGATTGGATCTAGAAAAGTAGGTGTTTTCATTCAGCCTGTCTACTGTCAGTTGGAGGGGCGTGATTACGGATGTTAAGCAGACGCCCAAACCGTGAAACCTACGTCATCAGGCAAGGTCCTCCAACGCAGAGGGGAGGGGAAATTTCAGATTTTGATTAAAGATTACGAAGCCAAAACATTTTTTTGTGTGGATTGACTTGCATGGATGAATTGTTCACCACAAAACGATCAATTTAGGCAAACAAAGTAAGTATGGTCAATTTTGATTTCATGGGGACTTTAATGGCTGGTTGCCCAGCACCTGGTTCTCTAATGGTTAGACAGAGACCTGGAAAGACCTACAACCCACACTCCCGTACCCACCGTGTCCGGAGCATGTTAAGGGTTTTCTGTTAGAACGGTGTAGTGTAAGCAGCCCTCAAGTTAATAACTAATGATATTTGCAATGGAAGTGAATCAATCAAAACTAACTTCAGCTGGACAATAACTTTATTCTAGAGCCGCAGTAGAGCCAAAACAATCTCTGTTACTTTAATTTCCTATTATCACTGTAACGCTGCTTTGAAACAATCTATATTGTTAAAAGTGCTATATAAATGAAGGTGACTTGACTTGACACAGCTATAACGATAGCGATATAGAGGAACAATATCGTTGGGATCAATTTCAGAATTAATTTGTACGATAAAACACTAACAGCCAATCAGAATCCATTCAAATGTGAAAGCTTGTGCATTTAAAATGGCAGATGGCATTGCGAATAAATTAATTATTAAATAATAAATAAAGTTCAGAAAAATCCTCCAATGTTTGACAATTCAAACTTTGAGGATACTTTAAAGAAAACGTATATGGAAAACAGTCGGTCATACCATCGGAATTAATGGTGAGAAGTATTAATGGAAAATTACCTCAGGTATCCAGCGCTAGTTTCGACAAAATTGTCTTGCTTCCTGTGAAGTTGCAGTGAAAATGACTAGCCATTGTTTTATTCCACTATATTGACTACGTCAGCTAAATTTACTGTTAGATTAGATCGATTACACAAGATTTACTCAAAACATAGCATGCTGAGGACATCTTATGGTTGAAGCTGTATAAATCTAACAAGAACAGCAAAAACATGTTCACATGTTGTACACTTTGAAACAGCAGCTTATGAGATTAGAATAAACAGACCATTATCATTCGTTGGTGTGGACGGAAATATAGTTATCATTATAGTTATCTTTCTTGGTGTGAATGGGGCGTAAGGATTGTTTTGTCCCACAGGATCCACACGGCCAGGCCAATGAAAGTGTGGATGGAGGACCACCAGATAAAGACCCTGTCATGGCCATCACAATCTCAGACCTAAACCCACTGAAAACCTCTGGAATGTGATCAAGAGGGAGTTGGAGGGTCATCAGCCATTAAATAAAGCCAAGCTGCTTTCATTTTTCACCAGGAGTGGATTAAAGTCTGAACTCTTTCCAAGTTAAAAGATAAGTATTGCGATTTTAAAAAATGAATACAAGTTAGTTTCCTTTGCATTTTCAAGGTCTGAAAACATGGCATATTTTTTCTGGTTTGCATTTGTATTTCATATTTTGACTAGTTGTCATTTTCGCTCTTAATTGCAATATTTTTATTTGAAAGAAATGTTGCCAATAGTTAGTAAAAATCAATCAAATTTTCAATCATCCAGATACATTTATAATAAATCCGGGGAAAACTGCTAATTTTGCAGTGGTCTCTTAACTTTTACATGATATAAAAATAAACATCATATACAATACATCATGCAGTACATCACATACGCATTTCACACATCATTGGTGTTGAAAGCACAGACTGTTATTTAGTTTAACAAATCTTTATTTTTATTATAGAATTAGCATCAAATAAACAATATAGTAGTTCTTATTCACAATGATTAAAGATTATTAAACAAAAAGTTTGAAGATTATTTGCGCAACCACTAAATAGGTGGTGATATGCACTAAGTATGTAAATAGCCATTAAACAAAAGAAGAAGAAAGTAGTAGTATAGCACGTTTTTTCTTAGTGTCCGTTTTATGGTGACTCGTCAATTCGTTGCGTTTTTATTACCAGCACACTTCGAGTAAGCAAGATTTGGGTTAATCGACCGAGAGTTTATAGTATCTTTGACGGTAAGATAACCTCGCTTTCTGGAAAACCCCCAGGTAACTGTTAGTATCCAATATCAGATCTTCAAAAGGATAGTTCACCCAAAAATTAAAATGACCCCATGATTTACTCACTCTCAAGCCACCCTAGGTGTATATGACACTCTTCTTTCAGACGAATACAATCGGAGTTAGACTATATTAAAAAATGTCCTGGCTCTTCCAAGCTTTATAATGGCAGTGAATGGCCGTGTCTGTCCATCAAAGTGCATCCATCCATGATTAAAGTGCTCCACAGTTTAGGGGGTTAATAAAGGCCTTATGAAGAAAAAAAATCCATATTTAAAACTTTATCGACTAAAATAACTAGCTTCCGGCAGACGGTCGTACGCAACGATTTACTGCGAAAGAGTAACACTTGACCTGACGCACAAAACGTTATGACAAATGCGGAAGCGCAGAAGAAAGAGCAAAACAAAACACCAGAGTCAAGAATTAGAAGTCTAAAACAACAATTTTTAAAGAGAAATGTTGGAGGAGCTTGAGTTTGTTGCCCAGCCTTGTTTGTGTGTTTGTTTGAGAGGCGTCAAAGCTTACGCTACTCCTACGTCATACTTCGTCAAGTGTTACTCTTAGCGTAAGTCGACTTGTGCAGGCCGTCTGCCAGAAGCTAGTTATTTTAGCTGATAAAGTTTTAAATATGCATATTTTTCTTACATGACTTCGCAACAAACGCATTGCTATTCATTGCTATTATAAAGCTTGGAAGAGCCAAGACCTTTTTTAATATAACTCCGATTGTATTTGTCTGAAAGAAAAATGTCATATTACCTATACCTAAGATGGCTTAACCGTACGTTCACACCGCCGCCGGCGAGAGCGGCAAAATTCGCTCTCGCCGCCCTGTCAGCGACGCCGTGGAAAGATTCGTGGACGCTCTGATGCTCTGACGTAGATCGAATGCTTGGTCTTTTTTAAAACTTTTTTTTAAAGGGGCCGCAAAGCAAACAAGCATGTCGATCGTTATGTTTGCAGAAAATTGATCGATGGAAAGAACTTAACAATAGGCTATGTGCACAAGCGTAATTTCGAACTTCCGCTATTGTCAGAAGTCGGCATGTCAGTTTCCGGTTTACGGCTGTTCATCCGCATCCGCTATAAACGAACAAGATGAGTGCTGCTGTTGTACGAAAAAAAGAGTTGTTAAACACATCTAAGTTTCTAAGAACTGTAGGTGGATCTATCATCTAACGCCCGTTTCACACATACCCCGTTTGCAGTGCGTGTTGCGGTGCAGGAGCAACGCGCGCTATAGTGCTTTCACATATGATGCGTTTGCAGTGAATAACTGATCCGCGGCTAACGAAATAAACAAATTAAAAATCATTTGTTTGGTGTGGCTTTTGTGTTCATGGTTAAATGCTATTCTAATTTGCATTCCCGCTGAAAAACAAGCGTTCTAGCACGAATATCTTGCCTATAAATAGTGTTGCGCGCCTTCTTATAAAATTCAAATGATCAACCTCTCCTCTATTTTGCTTGGGAACTAATGTGGTCGGAACCAAAGTTACTTGACTGCGTTCTCTGGAATCCTCTCAAACGGAGCACATCTACATTCCGATTGGTTGCCGCCGGTTGCCGCCGAACCGCGTCAGTTGAGCTGATTTCAACTTCTTCTCGCCGCTCCTCGCCGCTCTCACCGTCCAAGACGCGCCGCGCCGCCCTCGCCGGAGCTCGCCGCCGGCTCTCATTGAAAATGAATGACTTCCGGCCACTTTGACGCTCTCGCCGCCGGCGGTGTGAACGCACAGTAAGGGTGAGTAAATCGTGGGGTAATTTTCATTTTTGGGTGAACTATCCCTTTAATGTGAAAAGGGTTAGTTCTGTCATTCATTTGATTCATAATATGATTAAAATGTAGATGAAAAATGCTAGAAACAAGTTAATGATTTAGATGTATTCTTGTATCATGTATCATCCATATACTGATGTTTATTTCACAGCAACTAAAGCAGTCAACAATGAAGAATCAAGAATGGACACCAACCTATTTGTTCCTCAGTATCT